CAGCCTTAAGACTCGCAGTGGGGGGAGGGGAACGAGGGGGTCGAGGGGGGGGGGGACATACCCTTGCATGATGGGTGTGCAGACAATGTAGCGGTATGGGTTGGTCTCGTTGGTTTGGGTATGTGTATGGGTATGGGTGTGGGTGCGGAGGTGACAAGGCAATGTCACGGAGTGAGGTGATGTAGGTGAAGTACGGTACGAGAAGAGGGCGGTGGGGGGTGGGCGGAGCGGGCTAGTTGGTGCGAATCACGTGCCGGTGTTCGACACGCGTGCAGTGAGCGTGGAGGAGAACCTGTTGCGGGGAGGGGGGAAGGGGAGGAAGGGGAAGGGGGGAGAAGAGGGGGGGTGGAAGAGGAAGGGGGGAGGGGGGAGGGGAGCGAGGGCGGCAGGTGGATGGGGATGTGAGCCGTCTAGAAGGGGAAAGGGTGCCGGAGGAGGGGACAGACAGACAGTTCACGGTGATTGCCGGCTGGCTCCGCCGGCGCGGACTTGTCTTTGGCCTGTCACCAAAAGGCTGCACCAGCCAGTGGCGGTTGCGGCTGGGTGCGGAGGTGCGGAGCAGTGGAGGCAGGGGATGATGCGCATCACCATAATCATCAGAACGTGGGGTCAGAGGCGCAACGTTTACGCTGCCAGTGCAGGCTGCGAAGGGCGGAGACGACTGCGCGTGAGCAGGCGGGGCGGCCTACTCGTCTTCCAAGTAGCGATACTTAAAGGTGAACGAGGTGCGGCGGCGGTAGCACCAGCCCGAGTCGTAGTCAAAGTACTCGTACGTGCCGTGCTCCGAGGTGTGGTCGATTTTCTGCGGCTCCTCGTGGCGCTTGAACCAGAGGTTGTACTTCTTGTGGAAGCGCCAGGCCTTGGACTTGAGCTGGCGGGCGGCAAGGTACTGCTGGTAGGAGCCCTGCTGGTGGTAAAAGGCAAAGAAGAGGGTGTCGGACTCGAGCTTCTCAAAGGTAGCCGGCGAGGAGAAGACTGGGTGGACGGTCTTCGGGTAGTACGCCGGCGTCACGCCCGGGTTGACCGGCTGGCGGAAGACCTGGCGCTCGACGGTCTCGGGCAGCGCCGAGTACGAGCGGTCCAGCATGGCCTCAAAGTGCTGCTTGCGCTTCTTGCGCTTGGCGGTGTTGGCGTCGGATCGGGCGACAACCGCAGCCGCCTCGAGCTCCTTCAGCACCGCCGATGAGACGCCGGCTGCCGACGCCGACGCCGCCGCCGACGAGAGTGGCGCATTGGACGCAGCCGAGAGCGCCGCCGCCGCCGCCGCCGCCTCGACCGCCTCGGCCTGTGCGGCTGCTGCTGCCTCGGCCCGCGACGGCAGGCCACCCACGCCAGCGTTCCCGCCGCGCGCAGTGCCGACGGCGGGCATGCCCGGCGGGCCCATGCCCGGCGGGAGCTTGGAGCTACCGCCCGTGCCGGTCCGCGCCGGCGCGAGCGAGGTCAGGCCCGACACAGCCGCACCGGCCGGGGCTCCGCTCGCGCCGGCGGGCGTAGTCACTCCAGCTCCAGAAGCCTTGTGCGCCTTGGCCGCGTTGAGGTACGCCAGCGGCGGGTTGGCACTCCGCCGCGCCTCGACCTTGACCGGCGACGGGACGCGCGGGCCGGCCAGGTCCTTGCCGCCCGCCGGCGCGCTCTTGGCCTTCTTGGGCGAGGTCTTGGAGCCTGCGCCGGAGACAATGTCGGCCAGGTTGCGGGAGTCTTTGGCGTTGGACGCCTTGACGCGCGCTGACGAGAGCGAGGCCGGCTTGGTCGGCTCGAGCGCGCTCGTCCCGCTCTTCTTGTTCGACGTCGCAGACTTGGTCGAGCTCGTCGACTTGATCGACGACGACTTGTCCGAGCTCTTGGACTTGGACGCCTTGGCCGACGCCTCCTTCTTCTTCTTGGTTGACTTTTTGTTCCGGTTCTTGCGCTTCTCCGACGACGACGCCGTCTTGACCGCGTCCGACGCCGCCGAGAACTCGGCGAGCGACGAGATGTTCTTGGCTGCGTCGTCCTCGACATACTCCTCGTCGAGCCGCAGGCTCTCGTACATAAACTCGTCGTAAAAGTAGTCCGGGTCGCGCCACGACTCGAGGTGGTACTCGAGTGTTTCCTCGATCTCCTCGACCTGCTCTACCGTGATGCGGTCAATCTCCAGTGCCTCGACCACAAGCTCCAGCTGCTCACGCTGGAACTTGTGCCGCTCGATGTGGACCTCCAACGACTCGATCTGATCCGCCGCCGCAGACCGCTTCTTGCGCCGGCCAGACAGGTCCTCCATCTCGGCCTCCATCTGCTCGAGCTGCTCGTCGATGCGGCTCATGCACTCGGCCAGCCAATCAAGCTTTTCCGTCTTTTCCGGCGACTGCGTTCCGCGCTTCCGCTGTGACTTGGCCAGGCCCTCCTTGGAGTACGCCTTGGTCTTTGCCTGCTTCTCAAACTCCTTGAACGCCTCCATCTTGGTCTCGATCAGCCTCCGCTTCTCCTGAAGCGCAGACTTGTCCCGAAAGTCCGACGAGCCCTGCCACTGCTTCACCTGGTCACGCAGCCGCTGCAGCTTCTTGATCTGCGTCTTGAGATCCGCCTCGAGCTTCTCCTTCTGCGACGAAAACTCGGGACTCGCCGCCTTTTCAAATGTGTCGTCAAAGACCTCCACCCCGTCCATGATCTTCTTGAACACCCTGTCCACCTCGGCTTGCAACTTGCGGGCCGCCATCCTTCGTCCTACGTGTATTGACTGTGGTGAGCGGTAGGAGGGGGGGGGGAGGGGGGGGGGAGGGGGAGGGGGAGGAGGGAGGGGGAGGGTCGCGGCTGCCGGTCGCGCGGCTTGATCGACTTCTTGGGGGAAGTGGGAAGAGCGAGTCGGGGGGGAGGGGGAGGGTAGGGATACATACACCTGTGTGTACACCTGTGTGCTTTCAGAGCGTGTGGGTGTGCAGGGGATAGAGGGGGGGATGGGGGGGGGGGGGGGGCGAAAAATCCTGTGGTGTCTAGGGGGGTTGAAGGGGGGAACTAATTCCTCCCCCAAAGCGGGGTTGGGGGAACAAGGGGGAGTGGGGCCCACTGCCCACAAACCCACTGGCCAACTGGTTCCACTGGCGACAACCCCCAAAGTTGACCAAAGTTGATGCCTCTCCCGAAAAGGAATGGCAAAAGGAA